TCCCAACATGCAAGCCACACTCCATGCTTTTACCCTTCTTTCACAGAAGTACACAACCAGTGACGTCACAGGGCTGTTTTGGCCGCGCCAAGATGGCCAGCAATTTTGATCTCAGCCGGTCAACTTCGAATGGTTAAAAATGTACTTTCCGCTATGCGTTGGCCCAAAAAAAGTACACAGCGTTTGCAAATAACGTTCAAACTTTATTATATTGCAAAAATCTCGGATTTGAAAATTACGTTTCAGTAGCACTTTAAGCTATACATGATGTAACAGACCAGCGTATTGCTTGACGTAGACAGTTCCCTACCTTCCCAACTTTCTGCATTTGAAAGGAACATCAATCGTATCCCATTTTAACTTACCTTTAACCCAATAAACGTCTTTCCAGTACCAGGTGGTCCTTGAATGACTGCAAACTCTTTGGTCAGTGCCATCTGCAGCGCCCTGAACTGAGAATCATCAAGACCCAGGTCTTCGGCGGAAGGCCAGGAGGACAGGTTCAGAAGTGGAACGGCGGTTCCTTCAGAGGAAAATCGCAAAGACGGTTCGAAGACCAGTTATATAAGAGAGGGTAGGAAAGGGCTTATACGTGACGCGTGTTACTGAAGGCCAAAATTAATATGTCACGGGTAAATTATACAGAAAAGTGGGAGTGATTTAAATACGTGACTGGTGAATTTTTTCCTTTCATTTCGTGAAAAGCTCAAGATTCCCCTGAAACCTTGCTGACAAGAGGAGAGATAGGAAGTTTTCCCTTTTCAATTCGTTACACATTAATTGTTGTTTAAAGCATACGTGACGAGTGAATTTTGCTAAAGCATGAAAAAGGATCAGGATCCCCCCCTTGGGCACTCTTTCCCTCTTCCCCTGGGTACTCTACTATAGAGTATCTATCAGCTTTGTATTGGCTACTGTTAATTTTTAAACACAAAAATCTGCGTTAAGGACCGTAAAGTACTCGCCGGCAAATGATCAAGTCGCCTAATCCTTTCCCAAAGTACTGAGATAAAAAAGGGCCATATCGGCGAACAAAACTTGTGTTCTGGAGTTGAACGAGGTTACCAGTTTCTGCATAAGTTATAAACTTGCCTTGAGTTATGCACTTACCCTTCGAACGTGCACGTCGAAGTTTGAACTTTCTTCGAATATCTAAGCTGTTGATAAGATGTAAGAGGTCCCTTCAGTTGTGGCCTTCTTTATCGCCGTAAAATTATATCATTATCAAATATTATTAAAATGATGAACCAAAACTGAACTATAATTCATAAAATTAATGGACCGAATTGGAACCCCTATAAACCGGACCCACATTTAACCAGAATCCTTTCTTTACCGGACCCTTTTTTCGGCCCCAAAATCTCTGTCATACATTTTCTGTATTTTTAACCTCAGTAAACCGGAACCCCTCACTTCCGGAAACCAGACGCTTTTTTACCGTCCGTACTAAGAAATTGACCTCGTTAATTAAACTGGACGTGAAAGTTTTAAGCTTGCCGCCAAAATTAAATCACATATTTTTAAACGTGATTGAAATTGAAATTGTAATCATGCAGCTGTGAAAATCCCAATCACAAGTGAGAAACACGCAAAAGCAAAAAATCTAAAGTCTACAATGGTGCCGCTGTCGTTGGGTTGAATGAATGACAACAATAGGATCAGTGAGGTTGATAGACCGTCATGAAACCTCGGTAAATCGGAACAATTAGCTCATGCTTAGCGCGCGTGGTGAGTGTGCGCCAACAAAGAGTTTTATCACAATTGTGTCGGGTTTACCAGGTAATTGCCTACTACCCGAAAACTATGAATAAAAGCATAGGTGGAAACGACAAATAATTCGAGAGAAAAGCTTTATTAAAATAAATGCTAAAATTGCTGCTTAGAAGCGAAAACGTACAAATTTCTTGCATGTACGAGGCCCGCGGACAGACCTGCGTAATAGATTCACCATTTTCGAAATTTTATTTACTATAATTCACGGCCAGGAAGTTGCGCACCTTTGCGTTGAAAGTTTGGAAAACCGCGCGATTTAAAACAAATCTTCTGTTGAACAATACTCTAAACCAGAGAATTATTAACATTTAAAAATTATATTTACCGCTCTGAGTAAAGAAGAGTCCAAAGGTCGCAAAAGTCAGCAAGAACACTTTCCTTTTTCCAGCATTAATCATATCGCGTTTATGGATGAATTTCGTTGACTCCAAAGATATTTACGTCGCTTGAAAGAGTCACATGTTCATTGTTTTTCGATTCAAGTATTATTTAGCATTTTTAGTTTTCATTTTGAGCTGCAACAAGTCTATCTCAATCGGAAAAAAATCGGAAAAACAATCTTTAAAGTTTTTAAACCTCGCGGCTAATCTTAGTCTCCCTCGCAGCCGGTTTTTTTTGGATGTCACGCGACGCTGCCGAACTACATTCCTTTCTCTGAATTGGCCAATCACAGCTCGGGTTCCATTTTCAGGAACCTTTTCGCGCCAGACTGACCTTTTGAGACTCGTCCAATCAGATATCGTTTTCTATCGCGATCCCCATGTGGAAAACACAAGACAAATGGCGGTGCTTGAAGGAGCTTTTCGCAAAGCGTCGTCAAAGTTCAAAATTTTCGAGCTTAACGCTCACCAGAAGCTTGCAATTAAAAAATTTTTAGCCGAGAAAAAAGATGTTTTTGTTAAGTTGCCTACAGGATCCGGGAGATCGTTTATATATCAAGCACTCCCGCTCGTGTTTGACCATGTTACCGATGAAAGTGGTCATATTATCGTTATAGACCGGTTCACGCTCTTGAGTGCATGCTGGGTAATTAGGGCAAGCAAATCCAAAATGGCGGATACGAACAACACTCTTTTGCTCGATCTGAATACTTATAGTTCAATATAGAAGTCACAGCTACATTTTGAGCTCTTTATGTTATTGCCATCTCGCTCAAAAGTCGTTGACAGTTCAATATCCCAACAACACGATCATGGCCACGCACCTCGAAGATTTTTTGGAACTTTCATGTGGGGAATTGCAGTTTTATCTTAAACAGCGAGGTTTGCCCTCTGGAGGGACACACTCGGATCTTGCTGCTCGTGCTTTGGTAGCTTTTGAACATAAAACGCCTATTCGAGATTCGGCCGAAAGCCAAGCCAAGTCACTACAAAATGAACATGTAGAACTACTACGCACATGCGGTATAAAGGATCCGTTATCCATGGTCGATTGGGAGGACTGTGTAACAAAGTGGCCGCATACAAACATTGGTCAAATATTCTCGTTTATACTTGGAAAAAAAGCTTTCGACACTGACTATATTGGTCAATATAAAATCAGAAAAGCGTATTCATACTTTAAAAGTGGTTTTGTGCACACTGTATACTCAAAAACAATTCATGGACAAGACAAAGTTCTGTTGTTTGCATCTGTCACTCCATCTCAAAGAATTCGCGAAGAACCTCATAAAGTGTGGATAATTTGTAAATCTCCCGGTGAAATTCTTGGGGCATATTGTAGCTGTACAGCTGGATACAGTCAGTGCTGTAATCATGTCATAGCCCTTTTATATAAAGTTGAGTTTGCCAACCAGAAAGGTTTCACAGATCCTTCCTGCACAGATAAGGCATGTGTGTGGAATAATACTAGCAAGAAAGACATCCAACCCATGAAATTAAAGGACATGGTGTTCCAAAGCCACAAGGTAGTCAAAGAAAACCCAAGTTATGCTATTAATAGCAAGGAAAAACAGAACTTTGATCCTCGGCCAGAATCCTTGAGGGTTGTTACCGAAGAAAGCAAGCAAAAGTTTCTAGCTTCTCTTCGAAACATAAATCCTGATGCTGTCATCCATATTTCATATGCACCACCAACTTCTGATGATGTTCCCCCATCACTACAAATTATAGCTGATGATATATCCTCTAAAAACAATGGTGTAGATGCTGATGAATTAGTGAGACAATTTCTGGAACAATTATCTTTCAATGACAGTAGCATTAAAGAATTAGAAAAGGCCACAAGGGATCAGGCTAACTCCAGTATATGGAAAGAGCAAAGAAAAGGTAGAATAACTGCATCTCATTTTCATGAAGTATACACAAAGACAAAAACAATTCTTAGAAAAAGAAAGCCAAATTGCAAAGTAACACCTCTTCTTGAGCGAATTTTAGATTGTACCGATCTGTCAATGATACCTGCCATTAAATGGGGAAGAGAACATGAGAGAGATGCTGCTGCATCATTCTTTGCACAAGAATCCAAAAAACACAAAAATGCAAAGCTTCAGACTTGTGGCTTGTTTATATCTAAAACTTACCCTTTTGTGGGAGCTACCCCAGATGGTATTTTTCACTGCGATTGCTGTGGTCATTCTTGTATTGAGTATAAATGTCCATACTCACTTGCAGACATGAAATTTGATGAGCATTGGAACAATACAACTTATCTAGAATTAGTGAATGGGAATATNGCTTAAATAGCGCTATCTACTGCGAGGATCGTGCATCATATGTATCTAATACCGCAGTGCAAAAAATATATGAACTTCATATATTTCATTGTATCTCACTGAATCTTTTGTTAGTCATGACAAATACTACAATGGTTACGCTTGTATTGTTTTCATCTTTCGCTCGCGGCATATGCAATCGATACGATGCTCAAATAAATTCGTAAGATGATACATTTCATGAACCAGGGGCCAAAATACTAGAAAATGAAATTACAGGGGAATAATGAGTCCTTTTTTCGATGGTTTTACATGCATAAATACGAGCGGACAATCTACTCACCGTCTGTATTTATTCCTCGTCTCATTGGGTTCAGAAAAATACTACGCAACTCGCAAAATATTCGCGCGTACTATATGTTAATAATGATAAATCCCTCACGACGGGAACATGAAGTTTTTCCGGATATTCTCGCACCTTTCAGTATTATCCTGGCTCACGTTCTTCATAATAGGTGTAAGGTCAAAAGTTACATCTTCGTGCAGTCTACTCCTTAGATAGGCAGGGGGCTCGACATTTTCTTGGCAATTTACAATGTACTTCTGTAGGTAAATAGTAGGATGAAAAAGTTGTGTGCGCTTTATGAAAGCAAACTATCAGGTTTTACATTTGAAAACAGAATAAACTTTCGAACCTACTTTTAGTCTTGAAAAGTTTGATCATCTGAATCATGTGATCCATTGAAAAATGTAGAATTTTCCAACTCAACTCAATATAAACGAGAGCTACTGTAACGGTATTTACACGTGAGAGATCTTCTGTACCTCAAAAGGTAACATAGTTGGATAAATTTCTTGCAGTCCCTTCAGCACGTGACGATAGGCCTCAAAGTAGGAAGTGCTCTCAACCATCTGGTACACATCACCTTCTTCAAGTCTCAAATTATCAATGGGTCTGATGAATTGTATGTCCAGCATACCCTTAAACAGAGAAGCACACGAGACAAATTATTTACCAGTGCATCTTAAAAAACACTTTTTCCATCAATACGTTTGTATAATTGTGGGCGGGGTGCACACCTGTTCAGAAGCCTAAATCTGCCAAAATGGCCAAACGTTAGACGAAAGTTACTTGAACAAAGGAGGAGAAAATGGTCCTTCAGCTTGCTCAGTGAGGCTGGCAACCATTCTTAGTGGATTGTGTCCAGATGACATTCCCTAATAAAAGGTTACAAGATCTCTGAAACCTCTTCGATAGCTTTGGCAGGACTCCTCACCAAATGAAGGATGAGAAATGTTTCAATAAATAGAGAACTCGTTCCAGGGCAACGTATGGAAACAATGGAAAGGTTTGCGAAAGAGTAATGATGGCAGAAACTTTGCCGAACAACAGAGAAGAAGAGTGGGAAACTGCCATCCCATGCATGTAATTTTAATTAATTTTTTATCAACTATATTCAACTTACATGTATTATCTCTAAGATATTCCTGTTGGCCACCGTTGCAAACATAATGGTTTCAAACCTATCTGAGGACAAACACAACAACGAGCCGAAGATAAGCCGTTTGCTGTTTTCCCACCGTATTCTTTTGAGCTTAGAGTTATCAAACTCGACCTTGTAACGAATACCGTGGGACGTGCACACAGGGTAGAGCAAGCGTACACCATCATACACGTGTATGTCCTGTAAGGCAATCTTGTGGGAGCCAGAACACTCTAACAACTTTGTGATCCCTTCACGAAGAGGCCGCTGGAAATCCTCTCGTAGGAGTCGAAATTGTACGTCTAAATAGTGTTCCGCGTCTTTATAGGCCCCACTAATTTTGTTTTTTCTGATGAAAGGCCTTCCTTCTGTCAGGATCTCATCTTCAGTAGGAATAATACTAAGACACCGGAAATTTTCGGGCGGATTGACATCATCGTTATCTTCGGCTAAGAGAGCGAGAAAAAAATTGATTGATAACAAAAACGTACAATTAAAGACGGCAGCAATATTGCTTATAACTCTTAAAGTAAAGAGATATCCTTACCAATTCTCCGTGGCTTCATCCTCCTTTGCTTTTCCTCTTCTTCTTTCCTTTTCAACTCCTCTGCTTTTTTGATTCGCATTTGCATCATTTCATCCACCCCTTTCACGAGCTCTTCATCTACCAATTGCCCTGAATCGGACGCCGACCTTATCGTACAATACAAGTCGGACAACGGAAGATCAGAGTGAGAGTTTGGAAATCTTCGGAGCAATTCATTCATCATTTTCTCAACGTTTCTTAAATACGCAACCACGTCAAAAGGCGGGATTGGATTTACAAATAGCTTGTTCAGGTGACGCCTCAGGTGCAAATTGAGGAACAAAGACCCTGGTAATAGACTTAAAAGCTTATACAGATCCTCCCTGCATTTGCTAGAGCAAGCTTTCGTGAAAATGTTCATCAATAACACAATGTTGTCGTCTGTAACTGCTGACTGCTCTTTTACTAAGCGTTCGGTAGACCGAAAGCAATCTTCTGATGTCAAGAAGAGAACAATCTCGTCCGGACTTTTGTTCTTCAGATTCTGAAGGTCCTTGAGTTTTAATTGTCCCTCAGACTGATTCTCTAAGGGTCCTGAAAAACAACCTAATGTTTTGTGATGGCTATTGTTGGTTCCTCCATTTCCTCTTGTCCTTCCTCTTTCACCACCTGATCTACTTGCTCTTTGTGCTCTTCCATTCTCTCTTGCGTTACCTCTTCTGTTAAGTCCTCTACTGCTCCAACTATCATAAGTCACCTTTCCAGTATCTCTTTTGTCACCCGAACTACCAACCAGCCCAGTGCGTCTTCCAGAGTCTCCTCCAGCTCTTATTCCATCATCCCTTTCACCATTTGTATCCGAACTACCCTGCCAACCACCTCTCCAACTTCCTCTTTCTCCTTCATCCCTTCCAAAACCTGTACGACTATCCCGCTTCCAGCCTTTCCCACCCCTTCTTTCTTTCCCACCGGGCCAACCATTATCAGTCACCTCTCCGGTTACTCTTTTACTACCTGAACTAACTTCCTGCCCGGTGCTATTTCCAATGGCTCCGCGTGCTTTACCTGTACTACTACCCTGCCAACCACCTCTCCAACTTCCATTTCCTCTCCCTCTACGACCTCCTCGTCCTTTATAAACCCTCCTGGTTTGCTCCATCAGGATGTATCTGACAAAAATTATAGGAAGATTACTCATTTGAAAAGTAAATTACACTGAAATCAGGTCTATGCTTCGAAAACTCTGGCGGAACTTTTAGATCTTTTGTATTCGTCAGCCAAAACTTTAGAAAAACCGAAACAATAGTCCAACATGCGGTCCTGGAAAGGCAAATCAACCGCAATCACGGGCAAATAATATCACTGTGAAATTTTAACTTGAAGACCTTTATGTAGTAACGTACTTTAAAAAGAAATGCATCGGAGCATAGAGAGTCGATGACCCTACATTTTATAAATAGTCTGTCATTCACTTGGTATTAAAGAATAGCTAACCACATCAAATACGAAAACGTTCAGAATTCTGGTGAATTAATGCTCTAACGTCGGTTAGCTTTTATCCACCCATGTGCTCGCAACAAAGTAGAAGTTGATACCAGTTCTGATTATAAACAATCCAGACTTTTTAGCAACTTTACTTTCTCTGGGTATAAGTATGAAAATGATGGTGAAATTAGAATAAGAATAGCCAGAGAAACACTTGTACTGTTCAACAAATGTGGACTGAGATTCTTTGTTCAGTTGGAAAGACTCCTACTATGAACAACAAAAAATACTGGACATTAATATGCATCAAGAGATTATCTTGTAGGCATTAATTGTGCAAATGAAGAGACACATTTTCTCATCTATGACCCTGTAAAACTTTAGCTACGCGTAAGAAACTATGCAAGTAATTTCTAATTTTACAACAGAACGCACGAAAGTCGTTGAAGGCATGATTTAAGACCAGATCAGTACAAAGTAGTCTGGGATTATCAATGACATGAAAATGGACACTCGCATCATAAGATACACATAATTCATTCTAAGAACGAATGCTTAAGCGACGGTTACCAACTTTTAGCCCGACCACTCTGATTGGAAACACGCCACATTAACTTTCGTTTAGAAATAATTAAATAAAAATAAAATTTCATTTCACGGATAGTTTCCGATGAATCTCGGCTTATAAAATCAGATCATCTTGTAGATATTCACCCTAAGAATTGTTTTAAGGTCTTTTAAAATTGAACTTCGAACGAATTGGATGCTTTCTTCAAAAACATCACGTAAAGATGTTTTGCATGTTTCTTTATTTCTGTCCTCGATGGAGTGCTCTCTTCAACATAACCGGCCTAACGTTAAGCGATTCCTATTTTTAAGATTCGACCGAACGTGTTAACGTTCGAAAACTAGGTCACAAGTCATGAATTTAATGTATGTTAAATCTGTCATACAAATTGTCTCGTTACTCTCAAGATCACAATTAGATATTTACAAAGGCAAATCTAAAGCTCTTCACAGCAGTGGCCGAAATAATTATTTTATCGACCTATTTCTACTTTCTATCAGATAAAAGATGTTATAAATTATATGTGTTTGCGGCAGGCGGCATTGATAGCAGTCCAAGCAAACTAGGTCTTAAGATTTTATGCAAATGATCCCTTGCGAGATGGCGACGGCTGAGTTTGCGATTGTCTATAACTTCTAACGTATATATCGGTAACTTTCCTTCTATTCTCTGCACTCAAATCCGGCACCGATTGATAGCGTTTAAAATAGCGAAATGGGATCTAGATACAAACTATACAATGCAAAGCACAATACGGCTCAGATACTCTAGACATTTTGACTGCAATATTAAATTCAGATAATTGAATATTCGTATGAACGTTTCAGTTCTTACTTACCTTACATTGACGAAGCCAACAATCACGAGCAAGCCACGACTGTTATGAAAGATTACATGATAGCTTAGATTTTTGCCCAATCGTCACATACCATTGTTGCATCATAAACTTCCTCATAAGATCTTTCCAGAGCACAGATATAGAACTATCAATATGGGACCACTCAAACGAGAGCCAATAAAAATGCAGCAAAATTTCTTAGAAAGTGGAAACTTGCTTCCGGGAAATAGGGAATTATGAGGTCATTTCCTCTGAAAGGCAGCCTGAACTGAGATTTCAGTTGAACCTAACCTTTGAGGGCGATTCAAAAATGAAATAGAACGGGAGTTCCAATGCTATTTCGGGAATAGTAGCCACTTCATTATGTTTGCAGACCGGTTACAAAAACGGTGAAAACTTGCAGATGAGAAACGGTTTAGGACATGAACGTTGGAATCTGGCCAGATACCGTGTGCAATTATGAACCTGTTTGATAGATTCTCATTAGACTTACTATACGAATAGAGAAACAGGGATAGCGAAAAGGAAAATCACTGAATAATAGAGTGGAAGGGCCACTCGAGAAAATATTTGGGTCGAGTTCATGACGTACCTACCTAGCACGGTGAGGTCCGTGTGTAAAGACCAATAGCCAAACATTTTCATGGCCGACCAGACCTAACTCAGTTAATAGAAATTTTATTATATGACTATAATAGAGTACGGTGCTCTGCACGGATCACATAATGATCATCACTCTGCCTGAGAATACACGAAGGATCCAGTTTCAGTTTTGCCATAAGGAAAGGGATTGCTATCTCATTTAAAAGGCAAACAATTAAAAAAGCGAGTTACGCACAGTAGGTTCGTTCAACATCGGAAACAATCGAGTCTGCCTTCTGATTTAATAGGGTTCGTTTTATTTTCTTAGCAGCAAATGAATAATCTTTAAGCGCTTCCTTCTTACTCTGCCTTCCTTACAACACTTCTCGTTGAAGTTCACTTTTAGTGAATCTGATGTAAGGCTGGGCTGCACAAATTTACGTGTTCCTATTCTCAGTGACACATTTGAGTATTGCCTTAACCCCGCGCCGGTACTTCTCGATTTCCTCCTCGGAGCAATATGATGATATGTGGCTCAGACGCTCTATGCAACGTTTGAAAGTGCTTCAAAAATTGCTCCGATTACGTTGTATAGACAGGAAATTGAATAAACATGGTTAACCAAAAGAGGACTGAAAATTTCACTGAAATTTTTCCGTTTCTTGCCTAGCCTCAGATATTGAGATATCGAAAAAAATAGCCAGGCTAACGTCTACCCCTATCACCAATTCTTTATTTTTTTTTCCATTGAGTTTCACGGAGAACGTCTCAAAAAATAAAAGAAAAAAACTTGAATATCGATAAATCGCCAGAAGAACATCAATTAAACAGAAAGACTAAAAAAAAAATGCTATTGCAATTTTACATTTCCCATTTTCCAATACCCGTCCTTTTTGTTAGATGCATCTGTAGAGAGTGTTTGCTCCATTCCATTTGACAGGTTTTTCAGTGTTGTGGTATGCACAGCTTGAATCAGTCTCGTTATAAGTAGTACTGTTAATCATTTTATCTCCTTTATAGCGTATAGTATCAGGCGTCAAAGGATGATCGCTATTCAAAATTGACACATTGATTCTCAACACTAACTAAAGGGGAGAGACTGTTTTTTCAGTATGTTCTGACTAGATATTAGGGACCTTTAGCAGTCAGGACGGCAACGCCAAGGAAGACGTCGATTATAAAATGAATTTCTACTTTTAATTAGCATTTGGAAAATGGCTGCATGTGTTTACCATCTCATACGGCGCCACAACTCAACCTAAACATAACGTATAAAAGTAGCGTTGAGTTGCAAATGGAAATTGCAATAATTTGCCGGTGCGGTTTCCGTTCGCAGACGACGCAAATTTTGCTGATTTCACGTTATCGTTTTGCAAAAGGACGGCTGAGAAATGTAGTAAGTTTTAAAATACACGTGCCGAGCTATTGTTCTGCTAATTAGATCTTTTCAGTTTTTCCTCGTCCTCGTTGCCGTCGCCGTCGTGGTTTGCTTAAGGTCCCTATTACAGGGACATTTGCAGTCTCCTTCCAAAAAGGATTAAAAGTTATGAAATTACATTGGTATTTTAAACTCAGCCCAATGCTAAATCTGGAACAGCAAAAATAATGCAAAACCAAATCCATCTAACCAATCAAAGCCCGTACTTGTTAACGCTTTGCAGATACAATGGGACTCAGGCAATTAACCAAGTTGGAACTTCGACCTTATGGGCTGGGCTACTTCCAGGTATTATTTGTTTCGTTTTTCGTCTTCAACTTTTGATGACTTAAAAAACAATGAACAATAAAAAAATCCTCCTAGAGACTGATGAAAATATAAAACAACAAGCCTTTCGAAGCCTGGAAGGTAAAGGCTTTAGCCATTCCTTGGTTCCTAACTGCCTATCTTTAATAGGAAAATTCTCACAAATTTAAGTTTGATACCATTTTGGCGGATTGATTCCTTACCTATTTCAAGCGCTTTGCTGGGATAACGGTTTAATTTCATACGTGGTCAGTCAGTAAATTTCATTTTCCCTCACTTCAATACCAGTCAATAACAATGGAAAATAAACTTTTAAAGAAGGGTTAAATTAATCTGCAAAAGTAACACCCTTAACAAGTTCAATCTACATAAAGTCGCGAGGATCAAAGTTTCGGATGTTAGCCATGTCTGAAAAGGCGGCATAATTTGCCCCATCCATTTCCCTAGCTAACCGATTGTCAGATCGCAGCTGATGATTATGACCACCGATTCTCGAGCCGCATTCTGGACATTTGCCCTCTTCCATCGCTCCACCACATTCTGTAATGCAGTAGATGTGACCTTAAAGAATAACAAAAACAAATAGGGCAGTTTAGAGGAACGTAATTTTGATGAGTCTCCCTATCTTGTCACCTGAAGAAACCGATTGGACTCCTTTGCGTGCCTGATACACTGGTGAAGTCTCCCTTTAGCGTTTTGTTCGCTACCCGGTTCCTTACGGAGCAAATTTGTGGTCAAGCCTCTCTCCTCTATCAATCTTTTACCCATGCAAGGAAATTGTGAAGGAATGACTTTCTGTTCTTTTCTTCTCAGCCCCTCCACTGTTCAAAATTTGGCTGTGATTAAAAGGAAACGACCTGAGAAACTCTCCCATTTCTCGGATCAAGATTACGAAGGTTTCAAGAAAAGTTCATAGGACTAAAATCGTGTTATTCAAACTCACCGTTGGGACACTTGAACCAGTGTCCTTGTGCCATTCCCATGGCCTTCACGATCAGATCTTTTTCATCTTTTGTAACCGTCTGGTAGTAAACATCGAGATTTTGACCGCGTCTGATCCGCGTAATTAGAGACCCGTATAGCTCTCGACGCTTTCGTTCTGAAAAGGTCAGTTAAGAAGTAAACTTCATTTTTTTCACTTGTCACCCACTATTAGTGCCGTATTTGAACAAAAATATACGACAGTTTTCTTGTTACTTAAGAAAAGAAACTAGTTCTTTTTACAGTTTCTGGAAAAGGGCAACAATGTTACAGTCACTAAAATTACAAATCACACTTCAGTGGCTACTCCCTTTCCTCTTTTCACTGTTGATCCATCCACCCTCCTGTCAACATTGCAAAGAATTTTGGAGGAAGAAATGCTCGGAAAGTAAAATTTTCCAGCTCGATGATCAGGTTTTAAGTCAGTGTAAGACTTATACTGCTATGCTTTGCAGTAAAAGATTGAAACGCTAATCTACCATTCAAAAAATGCTATATAGTTAATTTTGCTCTACCATGATTTTGGAAACTGCCGTATTTGAAACAAAGTAAGAGTTTGAAATTTTAAATAGGCATTCGACAAGTGGTTAGCCACATTAAATTCTATTTTTTTTTCAAATAAAATGTTAATGTTCCAAAATTGTAATTTACTTCACGTGTCCTTACCAATTTTCTTTTCAGAATCCAGCACTCTTCCAACAGCATCTAAGGATGCGGTGTCAGTAGGTCCTAATGTTTTCCCCCGGTTGTTTAGCTGCATCCTAAGCATTTTGTAGTCGATAAGAAGCTGTGTCCTGTACATTTCTTCTTTGAGCTCTTCCAGTTCTTGGTCGCTGAAGCGAACCCGAGCCTTCATAACACGGTTTCGGAGCTTATCGATTTCACCGTCTAATTCTTCCTTGGTTTTCAACAAGGGATACCTAGATACCAATCCTCTCACTTTCCCCTCTTCTGCTTCTTTTCCTTTTTCGATGCTATCTTTTAGAGTCTGAAGGAAAATCAACAGGTTGATCTGATTTTCAAACACATTCACTTGTTCATCCGTCAAACTCCTAGATTCGAGATATCTTTCAATTCTTTCCCGGTCTTCGGGGAACTGATGAATCTTCAGCACGTTTGCCTTTGGTGTCGACACTTTAAGTTCCCGCTGCCTTTTACTGAGTAAAATTTTCTTTTTTATTCTTTCGAAGTCCGCGAGAATCTTCTTGACAATGTTGCCATATCTCAAACTGGTACGAATCGGAATCCTGCACTTTGGGCAGAGCTTGAGTTGAACGTCAACGGGCTTCCCATCCTCCGTTACTTCGGCCTGATCCATCCACTGATCCATCATTTCCACCTCAAACACGTGACCACAGTCCGCCAGTTCAACGAATCGAGCATTTGGATCATCTTCAGTACCGAAAAAGATCTCTGTGACCTCGTCCTTTTGGCACACTCGGCACTTATTTGGACATGGTTCTCCACAGAGACCAATGCAAGGATGAAGGCATCGAAGGAGCTTTGGACATGGCCTGTTGCATCTAGGGCGATCGCACAACTCGCCGCATAAATTCGTACACTCGTAATGAGGGCACTGCCAAACGCACATCTCGTTACATGGCTCGCAAGGCTCGCCGCATTTCTTCGCGCAATTGCTGTGCTTGCAGTTGTTACCACACTTTTCTTTGCATGGCGGACAGTTTCTGGTGCAGGGTTCTGAGCAGTTATGTCCGCAGAACAGTGTGCGGCCACACAATGCCTTACAAGGTTGGTGAACTCGACCGCGTAAACAATCACTGCAACTACCTGCGTAGAATGTGGACAAAAATGTCTGAGAACTTGAAAACAATACGTCTCTCAACATATTTTAGCGTGGAAAGTTGTTACTGAAATAAAGCATACTCTTTCCATTTCAGATTGTATCATAATTTGCTATATAATTTCATTAGTCTTGGGGCCGTTGTAACTCTTCCAATAATCATTTGCATTTCTTTTCAATTCTGAGTCCGAAAATATAGAGATAAAAATTTTAATTTTTGCCGTTAGACGTTTTTTTTTTTTTACTATTTTTGGCCATGTCTCAGAAAGGTGTAAAAACTGAAATATCATTTGACTTAAGAAACAGTAACGGTGGCCCGAAACGGTGGCCAATTTACCATTTCAACTTTGTTGATACATACAAATGACTTAGGAAATAGCCGCCTATATATAAAATTACGTGGAACACACACTCACCGCCACAAGGGTGCTCGCAGTCTAACATCACTCCACAAGGTGCCTCACATGGACTGTACCGTGGATTAACATGGCATTCTACATCGTTTTCATGTCCACACGCCCATCTTTTCTTAGTAACAACAGTGCACTTCTCAGTACACTCTTCGCAACACTTATTGGCACATTGATGGCCACAGCGAGGTAGAATCTTTGAACAACGTGACTGGCACTGTACGTCAGAACGGTCTTTGGAGCAAGGTACCTCCTGGATGTGACCACATGGTAGACGTTTCATCATAAGCTCCATGCAAGGCCCGCAATCTTGATAGCATCTCCTGCGACACTTGTGATTCCGACGACAGATGGTCTTAGCGCACGGTTTCTTACATTGGTATTCCTTGTGCTCTGGGTCTGTTGGATGACACACCATCTCGCATACGTGACCACATTCGAGTCTTGCCGCACATGGAACGGTGCAGCCTCCCTCGGGTGCCTTCTTGAAGTCCTCACCGCGCGATGCTTGTATCACATTTTGGGGATGGTTTTGGCAGGTGAGTAGCAATGCATCTCCCACATAACCGCGCTCACGCATGTCGTCAATTATCCCGCTCCATAATTCACTCTTTGTTTCCAAAAGGCTGATATTTCCAATGCAGTAAAACCCTTTCTTTGCCCGAGATAGCGCCACACAAACTCTGTTTTCTGTCTGCAAGAAACCGATTTTACCTTCTTCGTTGCTTCGAACAAGAGACAGAAGAATTATATCGTTTTCTTCTCCTTGGAAGTTGTCTACCGCACAGACTCGAACTCCACGAAAAAAATCTTTGGGCATCTCCTTTTTGAGCTGTATTAACTGTCCAGTGTAGGCTGTAAGGACTGTGATCTGCTCTCTTTGGTAGCCTTGGAGAATGAAATAGCGACAGAGGGCAGCGATGAATTTGGCTTCATGTTCATTTGACCTGCTCCTTCCCTCCTCTAAAAAATCCTGTTAGAAGTAAAAGGATACGTGAATATTAGAGAACACTAAAGAACAGGTGTATGAAACGCCCCCCAAGCTCACAAATGCATTTATTTCTCTAACAATCAGGGAACGAGATAGAACTGCAACGCGCTTCCTCAGTGGACTACTCTCATAAAATATCCTAAAACACGAAATTATCAAGTTCAGTAGCCGGATTAAATTCCACAAAGCATAAAGACCTGTACATGCGCAGCAGGCGACCTACTCAATTGTTTCCACTTTACTTGTTCACCTATTCACACAATCGCTCCAACCTCTCTTCACATTTTGAGATCAAGTGCCTTAAACAGAACTTTTTTCTTTGTTCCACGCTCATTACAAAACAGAAAAAATTTATCTTTTATGTTAACAATCATTGCCCCTGTATATCTATCGGCCCACTCACCTCACTCTCGGCGTGGTTGACAAAATACATGTTACGAGCCACTCCCTTGATGTTCTCAAAATTCATCACTGATTCGTGGTTCTCCAATTTTGGATTGGAGTAAATATGCTCCAACATTTTGGAAATTTCAGGTCTCATCCGATGCTGTAATCGCAACCGTTTATAAGGCATTCCATTCTTCACCATTCTCTCAAAGAGTGACACGTCTAGATTGTAGTCTTTGGCGAGTTCGTAAACTGTAGGATTGGGCCGGAGCTGCTGATGATCACCAATCAGAATCAAGTGTTGGCATCCGGGAGTTAGCGATGTGACAATATGTGACTCCAATACTTCAGCAGCTTCTTCCACAATCGTTATGCGTGGACGCAGTCTTTGCAAAAGTTTGCGATACTTTGCAGCACCTAAATTACAAGATCACACAATCTATACTTGTATACATGATATTTATAAAAATCTAAATATATCTTAACCTCATTCTATTGTTATGAGTAAGCTAAGGCTCACCGTGACAGGAAAGGTGTATCCTAAGTTTTTCTTTGACATAGCCAACGATCGTATCGTTAGTACATAAAAATGGAAATGCAGTAACTGATGGCTGTGAATCTGTGAAGATCAGTTCATCGCTTGTTGCCTCATCCAAATTTCAAAATATGATTTACTTCATATATAATCGTCGTAAAAGACCATAATTAAAGCAAAAATCTACTCCATAGATGCTGAGATTCCCTTAACTTGTTCGAAATGGTTACTATGACCTTAGCAATAAATACACGTCTTTGAAAAATAATGAAATTGAATAATTTTTCTGATTTTTACCGTTCCTCCAGCATTTGAAATATTTCTATGTATATCTTCTAAGCTATAGATACAATGACGATAAAATGCTCAGTAAGGAAACTTCAGACACCGGGCATTCGACAAAGCTGTTACCTGGTGCCTGAAAAAAAATGTGGCAGAGCCTTTTTCAAAGCACAGCTTTGTGTCAATGAAGCACTGAAAAACCCCGTGACTTACCAGTAGTTGTCATGCCCACGACATCAGCGTTCTTGAGTATCTCAAAATCTTCCATATTTTTTACATCCTTCAGTCGCTTGGCTCCCTCTTCAAATTTTTCTTGGAACATTGAGATAGTGCGACGGTATCCCTCCGCCAGATCCATCAACCATCGGCGATACAGGCACCACCGATCTTTGAGGCGCAAACTCCAGACATTTTGAACCTGGGTTAATCAACAAAAGACAAATCTTTTGACTCAGCCTTGTCATTACTTTATGGCTTTTCGACTGGAGTTGTTAAGTGTCGTGTTATATATTTATTTCTATGACTGTGGCTAACCTACTTTGAAGTTTCCTCATATATGCGTAATCATAATTTAGTTCAGTGCATCAATCTAATCAAAGTTCTTACCAATGACGTTAAGTGATGAAATTCGAGAGCGAGCAATAGCTGATGTAGCAGTTAAATTTTACTAAGTAAATTAATTTGAAGCTTGCCAGAGGTTAAAATTAGTAATAGGGCGACGACATCAGTTGAGTGTCGAAAGAATTCTGGGATTGCATAGGTTTCGCTTTACTTTATTCAGCGATCGGTCCAGAAAACACGCACCACTCTGATTATCAACTCATACCGATCGAGAAGAAAATGCTCACCGCTCTCGCTCTCTCAGCTTGCATGACATCTTTCCTGCTCAGTTCGAGAACCATGGTCCTCTTTAATTTCTTTTTAATTTTTTCAGGATTCTGAATTTGCCATCCACCTTCAGCTCCTTTGCTGAAAGCAAAAGGATCCAAAACTTTCAAACTTCCACCTCCCGGCATTACTTTGGAACCGTACACTCTGACGTCATCAATGTCCAAGACCCTCTGGTCCTGCATAACATCCGCCTCATACAACACGTCCGAGTTTTCATTTTCCTCTTCCTCCTCTTCTACTTCCTCTGCTTCTGCTTCTGCTCCTGCTCCTGCTCCATCTTAAGATTGAACAAACAAGAAAAATATACGCCTTCTACCACTAAGTTCAGCAACTAAAAGCGACTCTGAAAGCGAGCTCCAGCTGCACTTTCCGAGTTCTTATTACTACTCTAGCTGATGAGAGATATGGTGGTCTGTTGTTAGCACCCTAGACTGCGGATTGAGAAGCCGAGTTAAGTCTGAAATGTCTGGGAAACATTAGGAAATGCTGGGGGTAAACTTGCGTCGGAGAACATTCCATCTAAGAAGAGCAACAAACTCTTAGTCTCTTATAGCAATATAACTGGGATACCCCTTGGTAGAATGGGTCATTTGGCTTGTGTAGCAGGGCTTAAGAAAGAAAGTCATACTTCAAAAGCCACCGATGCATCTCCTAGCACTAATGAACTCAAAACAAAGCCTATTTACCTTGAGAGACAATTCCACCAATAGCCCTCACACTTTCCTTTCCGAGGGATTCGGCAAATATGTGAAGGTTGGCGACTCTTCCTCGAAAACCTCGTACATGTACAGCATTTTCTAAGGCTCCAATCCTGATAGAAAACTGAGTTGCAAGTTCCTGTTTCCTGCCAAGAAACTTTGCTTCTACGTCGTTCCCATCATGCCATAGGCGTGCAATGCCAGTCTCATGATCATAAGATGCCCCAATGTAGTTCCAGGAGTTCATATTTAACACAGCTTTCTCAATAGCGGGCGGATGAGTTATATCTCTCCACACAAACCGTGCTGTTAGGATTCCTTTCCCATCCACCACGCCTTCTTGACTTATTTGAAGTCCCAAGCCATCCTCGTGAAAGCTCAGAATTGATCCTCTGTTTCCGGTTGGGAACACCTCCAATAAAAGCGTGATTGCTGTTCGGGTGTCTAAGTCACTTCCGGGATGGTTTGGAATCATTACAAACGAGTTAGGTGCTCCTGAGAGTTGCAAGGAACCAGTCTCATCTGGGGACCACGTGACGTTATAAAGGCTGGCTAAATCAGCTCGAGAAATAACATCCACACCAGCGCTTTGCTTGTTGAGAGGGAGCATAGCAACCGGCTTTAAATCTGTGGAAGGAAATGAACTTATATATGAAGAAAGAATTTCACTGCATCTTTAGTGCTGATTTTGGCATCTTTCTCTTTAAAATTAACGACTAATTTTAGTAGTCTTTCTGTACTGTCTCGTATTATATATTACCATGAGGCCAATAAAATTAATTTATCTATCGATTAATTTATTACATAAGTGATTACAGAGATAATTTCGCGATAAAATTGATAGACACTTCTAAATTTGCTACATACGGTTGCGGTAACAGTAAGTGCTCCTTCTACAAATGCAAGCTCGAAACTGTACTGATAATACAGAGAGAAGGGAATCACTCGTCACAGATGTGACGAAGTTAAAACATTTTCTTTAATTTTTATCCTAAACAGACTCCAAATATCTGTATGGGTGAAATTATTAACTTACCCATCATCCTCCTTTATGATGCCAGCACACATTCAGGCAATTTAAAAAGTGCGACAATTTACTGTAAAGGGAAAATTACTAAACAATGTCGTTACCTCCTTGTCCAGGATCTGCCGAATTAATAGAAAGCTGCAGCCAGTACAACATTGCGCCTTCCTTGTGTCCGCTTCTACCCGCAAAAATTTGTCTCAAAGAATCGTAATGAGCATCGGTCATGCTGGGGACGCGTCGATGCAGGGCGTCTTCGTGCAGCACGTTTTCATAGCATTTCTTCAGATCTTCAGCGGCCCCTTGCAGCTTTGTCGTGGTGTGATCCATTTCTTGATGAGCATCGTAGTAGGCTCTTCTGATGTGCAAGGGAGCTTTTTTATCCTGCTCATTCCAAAACAATAAGAAAGCGTTTCGCGTTCAGCAAGTGTAACTGTGTCAATATCGCAAGTGGCAAAAATGCTTGCTTGATTTATCTATATAAATATCTATGTACTGGATGTTCACCTTATGCATGCGATGTTTCAACTCTGACAGACTGCACGCCTTCATAGTGTCACTCTGACTCCGACCTCCAATCCGCACAATCCCCTCGGGATGAAACTTTTGGATTCCTTCCAGAAACTGGTCGAGCGCGTGGTTCGTGTAACAGACAACAAGAATTGGGCGACGCTCAGACACAAGAGGGGCAACGTCACGTTCGTCATCAAGAAATTCAGTACCAGTGTCCCACTTCAACTTGTTGTGCAACAAAACATTTGCGATCTAAAATGAACAATTAATGAACTAATTAATAAAAATAAATATTTTATTTCTCCCGTCAGAATTCAACAATTTCAGGGCCGACGAAACCGATACTTAGACACTACTACTTGAAACAAATAATAAACGGTTAAAATATTCCACGGAGAGGTGGGTCAACCGGATAAAGTGGGCCTGCAAGCAAGCTCTGCCACATCAGAGGCGCCTCTAGCTGCTTTACGGTAAATAGAACCGGTTTGTAGGCCAAGCATACACGAACGCACCCAAGGCCGACACAAACTCCACTTTTGCACCATTGTAAAGAAGTTATAACAGCAAAACCAAAGTGTATTAGATTTATTTTGCACTTGGTCAAAATATTTGTATCACCTACTCGACCAAACCGCAACCAAAACCGAATTCCGCGACGTCTAACCTGGGCCTAGAATATTTTCTGTGAGTCTTTATTGGTTAATGGTATGGTTTGCAATCACTATGGTTTAATTTCAGCAGAATTTGATTGAAACATGACCTAATGAATAGAGTCTCCAGTAAGAATTTCATTCTGTTTAGTTGTTGTCGTGGTGGTTGTTGTTGTTGATTTGCATTTGATCTTGTCTAGAGTTTCCCTTGTCCTAGTAAATCACACCCGGCTGAGGAAAAACTGCATGACAGGAAAAAATAGGAAACTCTGTCGAGGACTAGATAACTGGTCATAAGGGTTACTCTACCTTCAGACCGATGTATGTCTTTCCAGTACCCGGGGGTCCTTGAATAACCGCGAATTCTTTGGTCAGCGCCATCTGCAAAGCCTTGTACTGAGAGTCATCTAGTTCCAGATCTTCTGCCGATGGCCAGTAAGCAAGATGTAGAAGTGGAACGTCAGTTCCTACGATGCAAAATAAAAGAAGTCAAGGTGAATTATGTTTGTATACCAGTATTAGAGGAAAGCACTCAGCTGATCATGCTTAATGTTTTGTGTGTCAGTATAAAACAGTAGACTAACCTCTATGCACGTCATCCCTGACACTCAAACCCGCAAGTCGTGCCCTCAATTCTCTTAATGAGCTCGTGCTGTAAACAAACCAGTAATCTGTATAGTTTACAATTCATATGGAAGAGCATGTAATAATTTTGCCAGCTACTTTGCCATACGTCAAAGAATCTCGATGGGCCATCAAAACCTGCAATATCCGCCTTGTTCCCCACTTTGCCTCAATGCCATACATTGATCTTTAGACCTCGGCCAATTAGTGGCAGTATCCACACCCAAATGCACATAATTATCTCCCGGCTGAAACTTACTATCTCCCTTTACAATCACCACCAGTCCCAATTCAGTCCATTCGTTGGACCCCTCATAAATGTAAATAAACACTAACTTCCTTCCCAATCTGAAATAATACCTTCCTGAGCTGAAACTCGTATTTCCTTTTCTCATTATCGGCGTCAGATCAAATGTTACTTGTCCTCTTAACCTGTTCCTCAAGTAAGCCGGTGCTTCAACATGTTCCTCACAACTAACGATGTATCTCTGCGTTGAAGAAAAAGAAAAAGGCAGTTTTATTGACATTATTATGAAATGTACAACGAAGTATCGTGATTGTAAAGCACCACGTTTTTATTCATGTCATCAAAAGGCATTTTTAAAGCATAGTGCTGTTTTGACGTGGCTTAAGCACGAGACGAACAGCAAGTGAAGGCAGCAATGTTACAAGATTTTATGACATATTCTTAGAGCCTTTGATGAACAAAAGATGACAAAGAATTCTCAGAGGAGAGGAAAAATCACAAGATATAAGTAATGATTTCTAAAAAGGATTTCAACCCAGTAAAGACGGTGAAACTTATTAGCAAATCATGTTTACTTCTTTTCATTTTTGACTTACCAATCCTGAACGAAAGCGTAAGAAACCACCGTAAATACAAAAACAAGGAAAAAACAAAACAGAAAACAAAACGAAACTAAGTGGAACTCGATATTTCTCCGTTGATCATAGGTTACCTGTAAGGGCAGTTCATGCGGCTCAACTTCTTTCAACCCCTCAAGGATATGACGATACGCTTCAAAGTAAACAGTGCTCTCTACCATCTGATACACTTCACCCTCTCCAAGTCTCACATTATCAGATAGTTTGATGAACTGTATGTCCACGATACCCTACAGACGAACAAGCAGTTACCACTGGATAACAGATAAACAAAATTTGAATAGACTTTGATGAGAGAACCAATCAGATTTCATCTACTACAATAGGCGATGATGATGATGATGATGATGATGATGATGATGATGAGGGAGTCATACAGATTGGCTGAGTTACATGATAGCAGGTGTGTACCAGACAAGAGACATTAAATTCAGTTACCTGTTTTAAATCTTTGACGTCTCGATTGGCCACAGTTGCAAACACAAAACTGTCAAACTTGTCTTTAGAAAGACACATCAGTGAACCAAAGATAAGTCGCTTGCTGTTTTCCCAGCGAACTTTCCTCAGATTCGTGTTGTCAAACTTTACTTTGTACTGGAGTCCGTTGGACGTACACAAGGGGTACAGCAACCGGACGTCTTTATACACCCGTATGTCCTGTAGTGCACCAATCTTAGCGGAGCCAATACGTTCTAATAACTTGGCAATCCCTTCACGAAGGGGCCTCACGAAATCTTCGCGGAGGAGCCGAAACTGCACGTCTAAATAATGTTCTGCATTATGATAGCTCCCGTCAACTTTGTTCCTTCTGAGGAAGGGTCTTTCTCCGGTCAAAATGTCTTCCTGAGTCGGAATAACACTGAGATCTCGGAAATCATTGGGGGGGTTTAATTCATCATTCTCACCGGCTGACAATTTAAAAAAATCAGTTACAATCAGCATAAGGAATATTTTTCTCTTAACCGAATAGGATTACGCATCTCTCACCATTTCGTTGTAATCTTCCTCTGCCTGGTCTCCTCTCGTCTTCTTTTCTTTTCAGTTCGGAAGCCTTCTCTGTTTTTAATTTCATTAGTTCACCCGCTTCCTTCATCAGGTTGGCGTCCTCCAACTTCCCTGTTTCGGACATTACCATTGCTCCACAATACAGATCGGCTATTGGTAAATCAGCGTATGCATTTGGAAATCTTCGTAACAGTTCGTTCATTACTCTTATCACATTTTTTAAATAGTCTGCAACTTCAGAAGGTGCCATTCTGCTTGCGGACAGCCTGTTCAGATTTTGTCTCAAGTGTAAGTTGAGAAACAATGACCCGGGCAGCAGGTTAAGCAGCTTAATAAGGTACTCCTTCGAGCTGCAATGGCACGCTGTGCTAAGAATGTTCACAATCAAGACAATAACGTCATCTGTCATAGGAGTCTGCTCTTTTAATAAAAATTCAGAGGCCGGGTAGCATCGACTCGATGTCATATCGAGGACAATTTCATCTGGAGTCTTGCTCTGTAAGTCTTTAAGGGCTTTGAATCCAAGCCTTATCGGACGGCGTGTTTCTGTAGCACCATAACCACCACGCCCTCCTCTGCCCCCTCCCCTAGCACCCCCTCTACCGCCTCTCCAAGGACCCCCTCTACTACCTCGAGCTCCCCTGCCACCACCTCTTCTATAGCCGCCGAAAGCTACAAGCTCTTCCATGGAGTGTATCGATTTCCTAAATCAGTCAAAGATATTTCAGAACCTCTTGAAGCCAGCACCCTCTTTCCTTGACCATGTTTAGCTGAAAATCAACGGAACAGATAAGTATCTAAATTATCTAGAATAAGTTATGCTTTATGATTAAATTTTACCCTCTGATGTTATGTTAGAAACAGAAAAGGTAAATAAAAAACTCTGGGAGCAAATAATTCAGATTTAAAATGTGAAAGAAAGACACAAAAACTTTAAGATTAAAACAAATCGCCTTCACTTCAGTTCATGAAATTACATAACCAACAGTAATGAAGTCAGTGGATGATTTTTGAACATCCTTGTAAGCAGTATGCATCGGTAAACATGTCGCCTCATGGTTTCAGTCGTACAAGTTGTAAACATTTCATTTAATGCTATAATCATGTGTTATACTAGTCAGTGTCTGAAATACTTTTAGGCTGTGAAATAAAAAGGAGAGGAAAAACAAGAAATGCGATTGATCCGGGGCAGATCTACATATGAAATATATCATAATCACAGAAAATGCTTCAGAGGTTGTTCAAAGTCTATTTTAGAGAGCTAAAGTCCCTTGACTTTGTCCCATGACAATGACTGACGAAAATAGAAAGGAAGATGATGAACACAAGATGATGAACACAAGGTGATACGAAGTGAAGTTGATATCGCTAACTACACTAATTGGATCATGGTCTTTGGAACACTCAAAATGGCTGCACAAACAATCAAAGTTTTCAAACGTCTGGAGAAACTTGTTTTTAGGTTGATTATCTTGAAGTGACGTTGAACTTGGGGAAATGTATAATTTAGGTTAGTATTGTAAATTATTTTCTTGAATTTGACGATTTTTTGACGAGTTTTGCGATTTTCCTTGAAGTGAGAGGTCGGATGCCACTTAAGGCCAATCGTGCGAAATTGTAACATCACGTGACATTAGACCTATTAGAAACACTCAACAACATAACAATTGGTGAATGAAGTGAAAAAAGGAAAACGAATCTGCAAAGTTATATGTCTCAATGTTGTGTGGAGCCAGAAACCTGCAGCTATCGATCCGTCTCTGGTATACGAACATTATCGCGACAAATCGTTCACACCGGAAAACGAAACATTATGTAGACGAGTTACCATGAATTTCATTTATGAGAAGCCGGTTCAGCTAAGTTTATCAAGCGAACGAATGCGTAACTTCAAGCGAAAACAAAAGCGAAGCTATTCGGCGTGCATACAGGCTTTATGCCAAATTTAGCATCCTTCTTCAAGGATATCTGCCTCCTGCTTTGCATTTCCGCATTTGCTTCCGAGCAGCGTACAGGAACGTTCCGAAGAACTTGAAAGCAAAAAAATCCCTTTCAGGTCACCGTAGAATCTCAATCTCGTTCACAAAACCACCGAAAATATCTCGATAATTTCAACCGCACAAATAATGCTTCTTCAGCTTTTCTTCTTGCTTCCGTGTAAGCAATCGCGCTTGTAACAGCCGCGTTCGTTTCTTCATAGGGGATGAAAAAGTAGAATTATCCGGTTCACCACAACGGCCCCTTTCTTTGAAACCTCACACTAAACTGTTCTTTTTGTCTCATACGCGGGCCGAATCGAATCAAAGACAGGTAAACGTGTACAATGTGATCCTGGTTAATTGAG